GGGGATACTGTGTCTCGTGGTGGTGCCGGCCTCCTTGGTCATCTCTGTATATTGGCTGCTCCAAGCATAAATGTCCTCAAGGCTTGGTGAGCCAAGATGCAGTCCCCCCACTTAGTTTGCTCACGTGTGGTCTGGGCAGACCCACCACTCTCCCCAGGCTGTATCTTGGTGCTGTCCTCTGTAGTGCATTCTTCTGGGGCGGGGGTTGACGTAGCTGGGACTGGGGCTGGCCCACAAACCTTTCTGTTAGTTCACTGCTTCATGCTGGTATGCTGCCCTCGAGTATTTGAAGAATTTTAAAAACAGCCTAATCACCTTCAGAGTACTCTCCCTTACACTTAATACATTTGTCCATGGAAAGGTCCGTCCTGTGGGCAGAGGCTCGGTTTTGTTCAGTGTTTTCTGGTTCCATGTTCCATCCTGGAATGCTTAATACTGACTAAATGAACTCAGACCATCCGAAGTTGAGGAAGATTTAGAGAAGAGGAAATGGGGAAAGCTGTTACAAACTCTTTGTTCAAGAAGTTTGGTAAGGTAAAAAAGAACAAGACAAGTGGTAAAGTGAACTGGAAGGATTGCACAGTGATGCTCGGGGCCCAACTTGTGAGCCATTTCTCCTGCAAGGCAGTTACCCGAGTCCAGAGGCTATCAACCCTGAGAGTCAAGAAAGCGAGTTTACCAGCCCCCTCAGTTGCTGGACGCCCAACTTGTGAGCCATTTCTCCTGTAAGGCAGTTACCTGAGTCCAGAGGCTATCAACCCTGAGAGTCAAGAAAGCGAGTTTACCAGCCCCCTCAGTTGCTGGACACTGACTCATGACAGCCAAACTAGGATAATCGGGTTTTGTTGTTGTTTTTGCCAGAATAACATATATTTATTATGAGTTAGAATGGATTTTTTTTCCTACTGAAAGTAGTACATACCTCCAAAGGATGTTTGATAAGTACAGAATTTTAGTCTGCAATTGCTTTTTCCACACGCAGGATTAGTTAATGGACTCTTTGTGTTTAAGGAAGAGTTTTCCAAACTGCTTCCCAGGGTTCGATTCTGCTGCAGTAGGTTTAGGACTCAGGAGCTGCCTGGGATTCCTTGAGTTTAGCAAGCCCTCCAGGTGGTTCTTTAGAGAACCCTGCTTACAATTGTTCTCAGTCTTATTCACTGCCAGCAAGTCAATTGGACTCAAAGTGACTCTGTGGGACAGGGCAGAACTGTCCCTGTGGGTTTGCAAAACATTAGCTCTTAGGGAAGTAAAAAGCCTAATTAGTGGCAAATTCTGGTCTGGAGAGAATGCCAGGGATGCTCTCCATGACAGCTGGGCTCCCACGGTGAGTTTCCACACTTGGGAGACCTGTTGTTTGAAAGTTCAGCATATGCGTCAGTGACTCAGCAATTCAAACAAAGCAATTTGGGTATTGTCCCTCAAATCGTGAAGACAGATGGAATGAACTTGATTCATTAAAGATACACCTTTCCTGTATGAACCATGTTTCCATATAGCAGAAGAGAGAAAGTGGTTCCTGATAGAATTGCAGCTCATAAATATGTAGAGAAACAAAAAGTTTGTCTGTCACCATTTTTCAGTGCCTAATGGAATAATAGAGCTGAGCAGCCACTCTGAATGGCTTCTAAAACCATTAAGTGAAAAGCTGATGGGGGAAGGGTTTTCATAGCTGAAACAGGCTAGCAGAGCCTGAAACACTGACCTGGAGGAGCATCACCGAGAGAAACTTCTTCTGCATCCCATGTGATATGTACGATGCAGTAGAGAAAGAAAAGTTTAATGTATTTTAAAAGATTGCTTATGAAAATGATAATTTACC